AACTTACGAGTGCAGCGAAAACCTACCGAAAAGACAGATAATTTCAAAAATTCTATTATAATATATGTATAAAATAAATAACAATCGAACTCACCTTGGACCCCATTGTTTCTAACTAAATTAGCTGCTTTGATAGATTTGTGTGAAATGTGATTAGTTTGCTGTTAACCAGCGCTTTTATACCAAATTTTAAATTTTTCTTTCACATTATCTTTCGGTCATTGCTGCAGCATTTTCTAACTGCCGCACCAATGCACTTCAGACCGCTGACCTTGAAATAATTTGGTAACACTTGTTTCCAGTCATTTTGCGATTGTGATATTAGAGGCTGTTTCTTGCTAATTTTKGGTTGCTGAAACCAGACATGACGTTAACATTTCCTAATGTGTGATTGCTTTGTGTTGCACTCAASGGGTGTAGGGTATGAATCACCACCATTAACTAAAAAGACCAAAGCTKTACGTGAAGAAAATTTGTTGAACTTAAATATATGTAATCAGAACACCTCATAAATTCCACAGATCTCTTAACACATTCGTCGCACATTTTTCTTTCAGATTTGTTGAGTTGGGTAATTAATTATTAGTAATGTAACGCCTTTAGACCTAATGTACATAATTTACGAACTAACGATTTGCAACATTGTTTCTGTTACTTATGCGGCGTTGAACGTTGMTTTTGTATTATGATTTCGATAAGACAAAGTTCTAGTCTACATTCTCATTGAAGTAGACAAAATCTTACCTATTATAAAGTGATATTTCTACCAATTTCTCCTCTCATTTTCCTTTATTGACAACTAAGGAAGTGCTAAATTTGGGTGACTCCGAAAACTTCAGACTCCAAGATATCAGTTTCATTATACGATAATGAATGATAACTCAAAGCGAAAATTATACTAAATTATCCTCAATCGATTATATGTATCTATTTTAGTCAATACCACATACTAATAATATGCCATATTCTAATTAAGTACTTTCTGGGGTTCATTAAGTGGTGGAGGATGGAGCCATGTGTGGAAGTCAAGTTACATAGATAATGATGTTTGGGAACAKAAGGATGTTTGTAACGTTTCTGAATCGGATTTGACAACTCAACTCAAGGTCGCAGTTGTCTTTAGATCTTCCTTTTTACCATCAACAAAGTACATTAAGCTTACSATGATGTTTCAGACACCTAAAAGGATACGTCAAAGGGAATATAAAATGTAAATATAAATGATGATTAACTGTGTCCGTTTTTCAGTCCATCGAACTAGTTGGCAAGGTGTCATTGTCCAGTTGGTTGATGTCCTCGTAAGAGGCTGACATCACCGCGGTCCAAGCTGTGCCATGGAAAGGGCAAGGACTGAAACGAGCAGGTCCTTATGGAATTAACAAAAGTGGCTATATAAARRAGCGCCGAGTCCCTGGCATTAACCCCGGTGGATGCCAAAATCCGCATCAAAGGGAAGTTCTTCAACAAATCGGTAATTCAATACCCAGAAAGGACGAAAAGCTGCCCTGCAAAGGTGTTGAAATCATGCTCGGCGACTTTAACGCCAGGGTGGGCAAAGAAGGTATCTTTGGCACTACGGTCGGTAGATTCAGCCTCCACGACGAAACATCCCCAAATGGGTTGAGGCTGATCGACTTCGCCGGGGCCCGAAATATGGTAATCTGTAGTACTAGAYTCCAGCATAAGAAGATTCATCAGGCTACCTGGCTGTATCCAAAAGCCACCAATCAGGTCGATCATGTTATGATATGTGGATTTAGATTATGGAYGGGTTAGATTATTGCAGCGACGATACGCATCCATCTTTGTGCAGAAAAAAGCTCACCAWAAGAAACATAAGGAAGGTTCGAAGGTTCGAAGAAGCTGCAATCAGCAATATGGACSTTGAGCAATACCAAAAGTTTGTCAGGTTCGAGGAGGACCACTCCGAGCCGTWCGATACCAAACGAGGTKTCAGACAAGGCGATTCCCTATCGGTAGCGGATCTAGTTCGATTTCCCCCATTAATTAATAAGAAGAACATTATGTGTTAAATTTCGTTGATATCGCGTAAGTAGATTTTTATTCTTGAAGGTGAAATTAATACTACAGTAATCATGCGATGCTGCCTCAACAGGTTACAGAAATTTCACTATTTCAATTTTTAACTAAACCAGCATACGGTCATCAACAAAGCTCCGACAAAATCAGATAAGCAAAATTTTGGTTTTATATGATAAAGCATCAGAGGTTCAGGTTTGTTCCATTGCTCCCTAACAAGAGTTCTTCTGTGTTATTCTACTCCTTTCACGCGGYATTATCCAAAGAGCATATAATCAGTACTTTGCATAAGTGTTAAGCAATTTACACCAATACAAATTCTATGCTTCTCACTATAAATATTTCTGATAAAAGGTGTTTGACTACCTAGAGAACTATGAATTCTTAAAATAATAYCCATTTTCTGTACTTAAGCAAAATGTCTGAGCACACTCTCGATGGCGACTTTGCCGGAAGCTTGCGTCACCCACAATACGAACTCAACACAACTGCGCTTTATGCTCAAGAGTGGGGTATATTCCTTTTGTAGCACCTCTTAAGCACCTAAATGAGCAAAGTTTTCTAAAGATATTAATCGTAGACTATGTTTCCACCTTTTGTTGAAAGAAAACAAGCCACACAAATAGGCGTTTGTGTATAGATTGTTGTGCATGTTCAGAAAGAAAACATTTGAAATAAAACAAAAACAATAAAAACCAAAGCTAAAAAGTAACAATGCCACAACAACAGTGGCTTTGTATTGCGTAAGAGAAAAGAAATCATATACTAAGTGCCGAAGGGAGGAGGAAAGTTTACAGTATAATGTTAGTTGTACTTTCCACCGTTTTCTTACGACTTACTTTTTCGCCACATTTAGGCCCACCTCCAGTGGCATAGGACGCATAAGACTTCGATTTMMAGGAAACATCATTTTATTTTTACCTTTTTTCTTTCACTTTATTTTCATTTCTTATTTTAACATACTTTTGTGTTTGCCTTTACTCCCACCGCCCAATACCCACTCCAAAATCTTGGAAGCTAAATCTCTGTGCTTTTATTTTTAAATGTAAGCCGATAAAAACAATCGAACTCAAACATTAAATTTGGTTGGCAGGCGGTTTACACACTCTCTTCTGAGAGGATTTACACGTTGTCTACGTGGGTGTACACATGTGTGCATAAATCGTGCAGATGGAATGGGAGGGCGTAATAGGAACGTGCCCGTGTGTAGGAGTACATATACTCTTATGTATGCTTTTGGAGCAAATAAAGCCATTAATGCGAAAAAGTATTTTAAATGATTTGGCGTTCCTTAGAAATGAAGTCGTTGGCGTGGCGTGTGGTTCCCTTATTTCGCGAACGATTTATAGACTTTCTGAGAAAAACATGCTGCGAGAGATAATACAGATTTGGCAAATTTCGTTCGTGGACTGAAAAATATTCCTATAGAAACTCATCTAATGTGTTTTAGTGGAATCCAATATATTCTAGTGGAATTAAGGGAGGCCTTTAACCGGGTTTTTCCTACTCGGCGTATTAAAGTATGCTAAAATAATATTTTTACACAATTTTATTAAGATAGTCCAAACAATTTCCGATATATTAGGTTGTCAAATACCTCCTTCCGCCATTTACAGCGCTACAGAGCTCGTATATAGCAATACTATATATCTTTGAAAGATTTTGAGATAACACACAAAACGACGCTATGCATGAATAGTTTGAATATTGCGTTCAACAGTTATGGACGTGTAATCATGGAGTTCACTAACACCTTAATTCGCGCTATTTTAAAGTTTTCCTTCGTTAAAGGCAAATCCACTAGAGAAACGTKCCGTGAGATTAATGGTGTTTKRGGGGCTKGTACTCTATMACTTCGAMCTGMGGAGGAATGGTTTCGACGATTCAGAGCGGGTGAAAACGACATCATGGATAAGCCAGCCAGTGGAAGACCTGTGACGACGCACACCGATCAAATCWTKGAAAACATTGAGTTAGACCGGCATGTGGCACCTCTTGACATCGGCYAAAAGATGGAAGTTAGTCACCAAATCATCTGCAGAAGGCTGGATACACAAGAAAGCTTTATGTTTGGGTGCCACATGTTTCGATGCAAAAAAACCTTCTRGACCGAATCAACGTCTGCGATATGCTGCTGAAACGGAACGAACTCGACCTTTTTTTTAAGCTTATGGAGACTGGCGAAGAAAAATGGATTACATATGACAATATCAAGTGAAAACGGTAAGGCCGGTGAATTGTTYTAAACAGTGGCCAAGCCAAGAATGACGGTCAGGAAGGGTTTGTTGTGTGTTTGGTAGGATTTGAAGGGAACATCCACTATGAGCTGCTCCCATATGGCCAGAYGCTTAATTCTACTATCTCCTGCGAACAACTGGACCGGTCAATTGAACATATAACAGGTCAATTGAAAAGTCTCCGGCCTGAAACATAAATGTCGCTACTATAATGAAATCCGTACGATTTTTAGTTAGGACTAACCTTAAAGAGGCGAGTATATATTATACATTTGACTGCTGTCGGATAATTAGCTTATGAAGTATTGTGAAAAAATGAATAACAAGGAGTGTCTCGTGTTGATAACATATTGCTTTTCAAAGGGACAAAATAAAGTTGGTGAAATCAAACCAGAGTACAGTGACATCATATTTTTTTTGTTAACTTTTAAGTAAGTTTATTAATGTCAGATCAATTTTCAACAAGTATTTTAATTTCGATTATAATAATATAATAATTTTACATAAAAACAAGCAGCATCTTTCACAAAGTTGTACAGAAAAATCATCTAATGATCACCATGTCCRCCGAAATCGTGTCCACCATGATGATGAACCGCAACACCATGTTCTTGTTTGATGGAAAAGCCACTAGAATGACCATGACCGTGACCGTGATCATGACCATGTCCGTAACCATGTCCATAATCATGACCGTGGCCAGCATCCCCACTATC